CCTTGTCTCGTGGAGGTTATACTAGAGCTGATGATATATTGATGACAGAAAAACAAAAGAAGAGAGAAGAAGAAACTAAGTCTGATCCTTCCATACTCCTTTCTCTACCATCACCTGTCTTTCGGGAGGAGAAATGGAGATATGGACATCAGTATAAGAAAGGAGGTTATACAAGTGAGACAGCATGTGAGATTGCTGAGAGGATTGTAAGTAAAATTATTATTTCTTGTCCCATTAAATTTCTATACAATTATATATATTGTTAATTAATATTGTTTTTTTTATATTACAGGATGTTCTTAAGGAGCAACAAGCCCAAGGAAGCTTCATTCCAGAGGGCAGAAATAATATCTTAGTAGTTATTACAGGCAAACTAGAGCATCCGGGTCATGTGAGGGGCATTGCATATGGTGTGGGCATTAAGGACTATTTGGAGCACCTGCACGTCCTAATTCAGGAGGCATAGTAACTAAAGAAGAGCTTGATACATTGATATTCACTGTGAGGCAGCAGACTAAGGATAAGTTTGAAGCTTCATTTATAGCTTGGCTTCTACAAATGAAAGAGCAAATGAAAGAGGAGATGATGAGCATGATAAACTCATGATAGGAGACAACTGTTGAACCAGTTCACACGTCTCCTACATTTCATAATACAAAAGGGATTAATGTTCTTGAGCGTGTGTTAGAGGGTCCTTCTGGTGACAACATTAGAGAATCGTGTGAGATATTTCTAAAAGATCTTGATAGATGCTTGGTTGCTATTGGTAGCATCTACAGCTTGGGGTCAACCATCCACCATAAGCAAATTCAAGATGATCAAGTAAGAGTGGTGGTTACAGATCTAAAAGTGCCAGATACTTTGGTTCTATTCCCTGCTTATGAGGTGAAGACTGTGGTTGAAGCTGTTGGTAATTTTATCCTATGGCCTAAGAGACTTGTGAATTTAGTTCAAGTTATGGTACAAAATTTCATGAATTTTTATTATGTAGCAGCTTGGGGTCAACCATCCACCATAAGCAAATTCAAGATGATCAGGTAAGAGTGGTGGTTACAGATCTAAAAGTGCCAGATACTTTGGTTCCATTCCCTACTGATGAGGTGAAGACTGTGGTTGAAACTATTGGCAATTTTATCCTATGGCCTAAGAGACTTGTGAATTTGGTTCAAGCTATGGTACAAAATTTCATGAATTTTTATTATGTAGCAGCTTCCTAATATATTTTTTTATTAACTACTTCTTGTCTTTTTATTATGTAGAAGCTTTCCTCGTCGAACCTCCCAAAACTTCCACAACCCTTATTGACTCTACATCAGCAAATGATCTTAATGGCATATAATTCATCATTCGAATTCAAGAGTTTAGAAATGGATTCGGAGGTTGTGGGTAAGAAAGACATGATAGTGACAATTGAACAGGAAGATTTGGTTCGACTTCTATCGAATAATTAACTTACCACACCACACATTGAACTATTTATGATGTAAGTATGTTTTTCTTTAATATAATTGCATTGTTGTAAGTAAACTTAATCATCAAGTTTAGTAAACTAATATAATTGCATTGTTATAGGTACCTTCATCATTTGTGCATTACATCGGGCAAAGGTGATAAGTTTGGATTTCTTTGCCCTCATCACATCATAGAGAAAGGTAATACTCCAGAGTTAAGGGCTGAGTACCTCCAATAGAGAATATGTAAAGTCAAAAAGGATGTTTTTATGGCTCCATATGTGCACTCGTAAGGATTAATTTATAATTAATAGTTTTTTTTCAATATGGATTTACTTTAACTTATATCATATTTAGTTGAAACCATTGACAATTATTTGTTCTTTTAATGAAGAGCAATACTGTCATCTTTTTATGCTCCCTCCATTACAAACTTGGGAAAGAAATGAAGAAGACAATAGACTTATAAGAATACTTTTACTAAACTATTTAATTTAATTTTTTTTGAAAATATTATTTACTAACTTGGTGATCTTGATCATAGGACAATGAGAGCATATCAAAATGTAGTCTTACAAAAGCATGGCCATGAGCTGAAGGATTTCACATGGATCGAGCCAAAGGTGATACTATACTTTATTAATATGTTCAATTATTAAGATTTTTTTTACTAATTTCTTATGATTTATTCTATATAGAATCATAGACAACTGGTGAGGATGAACTTGTGCGGTCTATATGTCATGAGACACATACTCAATATCATCACATTGGTCATGACCGAATTTACAAAAGAGAAAAATATATTTTTAAAAGTTTTATTTTATTATGTTATGTGAGATTGATTAATATGCCTATTTTGTGAATCAAATTTTAGATGTTCGATAATTCGGATGCATTTCTTGAAGCTGAAATTGAAGACATTCGCATACGTTAGGCAACTTATTTTGTGGAGGACTTGTGAGGTTTTTTTTTTAGTTTTAGACAAGTTTTAATTTTAATAGTTGACACAATTTAGACAATTGTTAGTTTTTTTTAATAGTTAAATAGTTTTGTATAGTTGATAAATACTTGATAAATAATTGTAAATGAATTAAGCTGTCTGATTTGGCAATTTGTATGCACAGAAATGGGTAAAATTGATAAAATAAATACAATATAAAAAAATAAAATACTTTTTACACTAGTTATTACCATAACCACTGTAGAATATAACATTTTTTACATCAATTATGGTAATAACTAATGTTAAAAGTGTAGTTTTAACATCAGTTAGACTGCCAATCGATGTTAAAAGTTCAAGTAATTTTTTTTATTTTCTTATATATAATTTTCAACATCGGCTTTATAACTGATGTAAAAATTTTAGTTTTTACATCGGGTTTATAACCGATGTAGAAAGATGAACTTTCTACACTCACTGGAACAACATCGCCTTTTTAACCTCTGTAAAAAGTTATTTTTGTACTAATGGGAATCAAAGATGCATAAGAGTTTTTTGCAAATGAATTTTAATGAGACGAGTCAAGGCCAACATATTCAAATATTCTTAAAATATATTTTTTGTGATAAGGAGAAGAAAACAAAATTTGACAACACTTCCTATCAATGAACCAAACAATCATATAACAATTGCAAACACGGCATCTTTCACATCCAATCATGCCAGACAATCATATCATTCAATCACAACAATTGTTCTAGACAATCATATTACTAAACATTCAATTGCAATGGCATTTCAATCAACACTTGTCTCCAATCTTGGTGGGGAATAATTATCCCACCTACAACATCCTATATGTATTTACACTACTACAGAAAGATGTATAATTGATGCCCTATAATTGACGTTTATTTAAAAAAATGATAAATAAAAAGGCAGAGAATACTTGATGGTTTCTACGAAACAAGCGTCAAATATTTAAGTAAATACTTGACGGTTATTTAAAGATAACCGTCAAGTATATATATTTGATGTTTTTTATAAATAACCATCATATAAAGCAAAAATTTACACGTCGGTCTTCAATAAACAAACGTCAAATTAATAGTAGAAAAAAAAATTAAATTTTTTCACATACTTGACGCTTGTTTTGAAATAACCGTCAAATTTGTCTGCCATATACTTGACGGTTGTTTTAAAACAAGCGTCAAATATGTAATACTTGACAATTATTATGAAATAACCGTCAAGTATTGTCATTTAAATTCCCTCCAGATTTCTTTTTCGCTCTCCATTTCTGCAAATCTTTCGTCTTCAGAAATAAACCCAGAGCCACCGAAACCCATTTTTCATCACTCTAACTGCCAAAAAACACGTTTTCGGTCTCGATTCTTGAGGGGTTTTTGATTCTCGGCCTCCATAAGTCTCGTGGGCACTCGTTCATTGGGATTCTCGGTCTCTATCACTCTACATCAGACTCTCGTCTCTGTTTTTCTGCACAGTCGGTGTTCCCTCTTCTTGTTGAGGTAGGTTCTTGCTTTCCCAATCATTAATCTTCATTTTGAATGTATGGGTTGTTGATTTTGATTTTCATACATAATAAATAATTTTTGTGTTATTTATTTTGATTTGCATTGTTGTTCTTCTCAGTGAGTGTTTGAAGTTTTGAGTTTTTGGGTACTTAATTATTGAATTAAGGGATCATCCAATTTTTTTGTTGATATGAGGAGATTCATTAAGGATATGAAAATAGTATACCACCTAATTACCTTGTTTTAAATATTTTTGATATTTTAAATTGATATTTATATAGTGTTTGATGTGGTTTAATATGATTTTAATTAAAATTGAGTTTCTTATTAATGTTGTTATTATTGTTGTTGGATCATATATAGTCTCATTATGGATAACTTGATTTTTTTAAAGGCATAAAGACCTGGTAATACTCATTTTAAGCCGTTATATATACTATCAATTTTTTTTAAAATTATTCTTGAATATAACTTTATGTGTTTGTTGTTGTTGTTGTCATTTAGATTAATAGGAAGAGGGGATAAGGCCCGGGAAACTCTCTTTTTTAAGTTGTTATGATGTCGAAATTATTTCAATGGCTAGCATTAAAATATAATTATTAGTTTTAAACAAGATTAAAGAGGGAATGTGCAAACATGTGGTTAGTGACTTATTGACTAATTGATCTTTGTATCTAATTCTCCCACTATCTAGGAGTAGTCAAAGTCATTAATCATATTTCCCTCTTAATCTTTCTAGGAATTATGGATAAGGAATGGATGTCTGTCAATCGTCTATCCAAGGAATATTGGGATGGGGTGGCAAATTTTGTTAAGCTTGCAGTTAAGCATGCGGAGGATCCTACTAGGATTGTTTGCCCATGTTTAAAGTGTGGTCTTGTGAAGCGGGTTAGTCTAGATACTTGTGAAGAACACCTCGTGATTAATGGGATGGATCAAAGTTACAAATGTTGGACAATGCATGGAGAGACAAGAGATGATATTGGTTGCAGCCAGAAGCATAGTAAAAGCTGTGCATCATCTCCTGATGATTTTGACACGTGCACACTTGAGGAAGATTGTCTTGAACAGATGGCTAAAGCAGTTGAAGAGGACCTCGAGGATTATCCGGAAATGTTTGAGAAGTTGAAAAGTGATGCGGAGACACCGTTGTATGCTGGTTGTAGTGCATCAAAGTTGTCAGCAATGTTAAAATTGTACAACATGAAGGCAAAACATGGATGGAGTGATGCAAGCTTTACTGAGTTGCTTGGGTATTTGAAAGTAGAATTACTTCCTAAGGAAAATGAGCTTCCTTGTCGAACATATGATGCAAAATAAGTATTGCGATCAATTGGCATGAGTTATGAAAAGATACACTCGTGCCCTAATGATTGCCTTTTATTTTGGAATGAATATGCGTCGTTAACCGAGTGTCCGAAGTGTAATGCCTCACACTACAAGCAGAATGGATCAAGTCCCGTGAAGGCACTATGGTATTTTCCAATCATGCCTAGATTTAGACGCATGTATAGCAGTGCAGAAATTGCGAAAAACTTAACATGGCATGCGGATGAAAGGATAAAAGATGGCATGCTTCGTCATCCTGCTGATTCTCCACAATGGAGAAAGATTGATTATGAGTACCCTGAATTTGGGGAAGAGAGTAGGAATCTATGCCTTGCATTGTCTACCGACGGGATGAATCCTCATGGGATTCAAAGTAGTAGCCACAGCACTTGGCCAGTCATTTTGGTGATTTATAACCTTCCTCCATGGCTTTGCATGAAGCGCAAGTATATGATGTTGTCCATGCTAATTGCGGGACCTAAGCAACCTAGGAATGACATAGACATATATTTGGCTCCTCTAATTGATGACTTGAAGATCATGTAGGAGTCAGGTATAGAGGTATATGATGGGTATAGAGAAGAAAGATTTAATTTAAGAGCTATGCTCTTCGGTACAATCAATGACTTTCCTGCTTATGGCAATCTATCAGGGTATAGCATTAAAGGGCAACTTGGATGCCCTATTTGTGAAGAGGGAACACATTCTATAAGGCTTCAACATGGGATGAAGAATGTTTACCTTAGCCACCGTAGGTTTTTACACCAAGAACATCATTATCGACGGTTGAGAAAAGCGTTCAATGGAAATCCAGAAGAAGGTAAGACACCTTTGCCGTTAACTGGTGATGAGTTGTTTGAGAAGATTAAGGATTTGGATATTGAATTTGGCAAACCATTTGCAAGGCACCTTGGGACAACCGGATGGAAGAAGAGATCTATTTTCTTTGAACTCCCTTATTAGACCACCTTGGATGTTCGGCATTTTCTTGATGTCATGCATATTGAAAAAAATGTCTGTAAGAGTCTTATTGGGACTTTACTCCAAGTGTCAGGAAAAACAAAAGATGGCATAAAAGCAAGGTTGGACATGGTCTCTTTAGGAATAAGAGAAGAATTAGCACCCCAAGATAAGGGGAACCGTACCTTTCTCCCTCTGGCAGCTTATACGCTATCTAAGAAAGAGAAAACTGCATTTTGTGAGTTCCTTAATGTAGTTAAAGTTCCTGAGGGTTACTCTTCAAATATAAAAAATATTGTATCAATGAAAGATTTGAAGTTGAAGGGCTTAAAGTCTCACGATTGCCATGTTTTAATGGAGGATTTCATTCCAGTTGCTATACGTGCAATTTTACCCCTTAAAGTATGAGGGACGATCACTAAGTTATGTTTGTTTTTTAAGTCCATTTGAAGTAAAGTGATTAACCCACATAAGTTGCCAAGGTTGCAAGCTCGAATTGTATTAACACTGTGTGAGCTTGAGATGTATTTTCCACCGGCATTCTTTGATATTATGATCCACCTAACTGTTCACTTGGTTAGGGAGGTTCAAATGTGCGGGCCTGCTTATTTAAGATGGATGTATCCTATTGAGCGCTATATGAAGATTTTGAAAGGATATGTGAAAAATCGAAGTCGACCGGAGGGTTGTATTGTTGAACGGTATATTTGTGAAGAGGCTGTTGACTTTTGTACTGAGTACCTGAGTCATATTAGCTATGTTGGGCTTCCAAAGTCTCGACATATGGGTAGAATAAGTGGAGAAGGGATCATGGGAAACAAAGTCATTACTATGTCAAGTGTACAGTGGGAGCAAGCCCACTTATATGTGTTGCACAACACTGAAGAGGTTGAAGAGTATGTAGACAAGCATATGGCTGAACTTAGGAGGGACAATCTCAATAAATCAGAAATTTGGTATGCTAGGGAACACAACAAAACTTTTACAAGATGGTTTAAGGAGCACATTCTTCAAAAGTTAAATGTTGATTCCAATTCAGTTTCTAACAAATTGAGATGGTTAGCTAACGGTCCAAGCAGACAGGCCATTTCTTACACTGCTTACCTTGTCAACGGATACACATTTTATACAAGGGAGCAAGATGATAGGAGCACAATGCAAAATAGTGGTGTAACTCTTGTAGCTCATTCCATGCATATTTCCAGCACTAAGGATAAAAATCCTATCTATGCAAACATGTCATACTTTGGTGTAATTAAGCATATATGGGATTTAGATTACATATCCTTTCGAGTTCCAATCTTTGGGTGCAAGTGGATTGATTGAAAAAATGGCTTGAAATTTGATTACCAATTTGGCTTTGTATAAGTCAATTTAAATAAGGAAGGGTATAAGGATGAGCCTTTTATTTTAGCGCAACAAGCCAAACAATTGTTTTATGTCCCTGACCCTGCTAATAAGGGGTGGTCTATTCTTATGTTACATGAAAAAATAAATGAAAATGTAGCAATTGAAGATGACCCATTCGAAGGGACATCAAATCAAAGTAACGACACTGTTGATGAAGCTCTATACATGAGAAATGATCACAATGAAGGCATTTGGATTTCAAAGAGGGGTAAATTATTTCAGCATAAGAAGAAAATATTTCAAGGAGGGGGAAGTAAAAAACCCAAGTCAAGGAAACGAAAAAGAGCAACTTGAACATGTAACCTTTGAATTAATTATGCCATTTTTGTTTCATGTTTGAATTAATATAGTCGATTATATTTGAATTAATCATGGTTGATTAATTTTTTGAATTAATCATGGTTGATTAATTTTGAAATTTTATTGTGTTACAGGTAAATGGCTTCAGATTCTGAGTCCACTGAAATCCCTCCATCAGATCCCACTACAACTTGTACTGATGCTCCGTTGTTACAAAAAAAATTGGAACAGGAATATTACAATATCCAGCGAGGCCTAACAATAATGGAAGAAGTCACAAAAACAAGAGCAGCAGGGAAAAAATATCAGTGCAGTGGAACAAGAAAGGCCAAGCCATCAAATCTGCAAAGTTTATAAGTTATATTGGGGTTGTGGCAAAGACAACTGTACCTATCACGTAGAAATCTTGGCGCAAAGTTGATCAAGCCACGAAGGACATTGTTTGGGAGACTGTATCTGTAAGTTGCATTTGACTAAGTTATATTCTATTATAATATTATAAATTGATGCACCTAACATATTTATTTTATTTTACAGTCAGGATTTGAAATAGACGAGAGCAAGAAGGATTTTGTCCTTCAAAAGGCTGGGAGGGCATTACGGTCTTTCAGACATTTTATTACACAAAAATATTTGAAAGACCCTGATGCTGAATTTGTAGCCCAAGTTCCTCCCCTATTACAGCCTTTAGTAAAGCAAGAAGATTAGGATGCTTTTGTTGTCTCTCGGCGCGAGAAGGAATTTAAGGTATTTATGTTTCTAAAATTTAAATTTTAGTGCCTTTTATTGAATATATCTATGTGTACTAACAGGATATTTTTGTTATTGATTAAAGGAACTGAGCGCCCAAAATAAGAAGAGAGTGGCCAAGAATGAATACCCTTACAGAGCAGGGAGGTTAGGGTATGCAGGCGTGGAGCAGAAAGAAGTTGAGGCCGAGGGATCGGATGTTACTATATCCCGCCAAAGACTCTGGGCATTGGCACGAACAAATAAAGATGGAGTGATTGACAACCCTCATGTGAAAGAGGTTGCTGAAAAAATTGTAAGTGTTATTCTTATCTATCAATTAATAAATGATTATTAAAAGGCATACTAATTAGCTCTACTTTTCACAGGATTCCCTCTCTCAAGAAGTATCACAGGGCAAGCTTCCTGAGCATGAGGATATCTTAGCTAGAGCGTTGGGGACCCCTGACCACCCTGGTCGTGTTAGGGGTGTTGGCTTCGGTGTCACAAAGAAGCAATACTTTGGCAAGATTAAGAAGCGAACATCGGCTTCTTCATCCGAGGTCCAAGAGTTGAGAGAAGAGCAAGCTGTTATGAAGCAACAGCTAGAAGCCCAAGCAAAGTTAATTGACATGCTATTGAAGGCCAGATCCCTGGGAGGCTTTTGGGTGACGTTAGCCCCAGCGGAAAAGATAGCTGCACAGTCCCTTCAGACAAAATACCCGAGGTAATGCATTTTCTCTTTTAAATTTGCTCAACTAATTTTTTATCTAAACAACTAACATTCTTCATTTATTTAGGGCGAGAATGACTGCAACTGTTTAGCAGACAATCCGTCACGCAAAGTAGTTGCAACGGGACGCGTGTATAACATTGCCGGGACACAATCCATAACCTTCCCTCCCGCCCGATTGCATTAGGGTTTCCTTGCTTGTTGCAATCGACCCCAAGTATCCATTACCTTATCCTACCGATGAGATGCAGACGGTAGGAGATGCGTTGGGGAGCTTCGTTGCATGGCCCAGCCACCTTGTTATGGTTGGTACACCAAAGCCGACAAAGGACCCAAAGCTGCCAAAGGACCCCTTGCCACCAAAGAAAAAGGTATATATGATTTATATAATTATTTAAAATCTTTAATATATATATATATATATATGTCTAACTTTTTCATTGTATAGCCAAGGGGGAAAAGCAAATTGAAGGATAAGGTGTCGGGCCATACTAAAGAGTCAGTCACGGTTTCGCAACATGCAGTGCCTATGCCTGTTGTAGAAAACAAATTCCGTGACTCTCTTGAGACCTATGCTTCGGCTACGAGGATGATTCGTCAAGAGCCGATAGGGGATATCATTAATTTTGACGATGGGCTATTTGGTAGAGCATCATTTGAAGTCGTTCGGGATGAAATTTTGAATGAAATCCTCAAGCACGATATGGCGAGCACTAGTTTGATGACTTTCTACATGAGGTAATTCTTCAACATTTATTAGTTAATTTCTTGAATTATTTATGTGTGTGAGTATGCAAGCATATTAACTTGTATATTTTTTCACCCAAGTCACCTTTATACCTCATTCGTGGTTCCTGGTGGCCTCGAGTCAAAGATCAAGCTGGTTAATCCTCATGATGTCTCTCCCCACAATAATATTACAAAGGAAGCCCTTGAAAATCAAGCAAGAATGCTTTCGGATCAATTTCGAGAAAGGAGAGCAACGAAGGATACTTTATTTCTCGCTCCTTACTGCCAAGGGTGAGTTGTTAATATTTGTTATGAGTAAATATTTTTTTATATTTATTTGTTTGGTAACATGTGCTGTTTCTTGTTAGGGGACACTGGATGCTTATTGTGGTTAATCCTGTTGCTCCAAAAATATGGTATCTCGATCCCCTTAATGGAGAGCCAAGCAATAGGGAAGATATGGTGGTACTTTTTAATGAGTAAGTTAGATTTTTTTACTTGTTATTTCTTTTTAATTTTAGTTTTCATTCATATATATTTCTCACATTCATTCCATAATTCCTTCTTAGAGCTGTGGTGTTGTATCGCACTGCGACCGACATGACTGTGTCCCCTAAGATGAGGGCATTCGAATCTTCAGAGAAATGGGTCACTGTTAAGGTATTCATTTAATTGGTCAAGTTTTTAATCAAGAAATTGTCTCATTATATTTTACAATTTCATTGATATGTTTTTTTTTATAGTGTCCATTCCAGCCAGATCAGAGCAATGACTGTGGTTATTGCTTGATGAAGTTCATGAAAGACATTATCACTCATGCCCCTACCATATTATCTAACAAGGTATATATATAAAATTTAATTACACTTCAATTATAAATTTTAAACAATTTTAATTAGCTACCTATTAACTTGAAATTGTTGTAACTATTTGCTTACAGTACTTCGAGGACGTCTATTGCGTTCATTATACGATTGCACATGTAGAAGAGGTCCTTGAAGAGGTGGCCCAATGTGTTTTCAATATGTGGGTAGCAACAGTAGTTAGGCTGGTACAATAGTTAGTTACATTTATATACACATTTTTGGGCCAATTTTTATGGGATAGGCCACTTAATTTTGAAACATTAGTTTGCAAATAAGTTTAGATTTTAAGGTTAAATGTATAGGAATTTTTATGTTAATTAGATAGGAGATACTATTACAAACATTCATTATATTGCATTATTTTCGCTGCTGGCTGGCTGTTTTTTATCTTTATCTGTATCTTTATGCAGGGGGCTGCTTTAAAAGCAGCTACCATATAAAAAAATTATGTCATTAATATTTGACGGTTATTTCAAAATAACCATCAAGTATCAATATAGTTGACGCTTGTTTCAAAACAAGCGTCAAGTATTTGTAAATACTTGACGGTTATAAGGAAACAAGCGTCAAGTATTTATGGCCAAAAGAACATTGGCCATAAATACTTGACGCTTGTTTTGAAACAAGCGTCAAGTATTTATGCTGGGAAGTGTATATTTACTTCATATACTTGACGGTTGTTTTCAAATAACCGTCAAGTATAAGATTAATACTTGACGGTTTTTAACCGTCAAGTATTATTTCTTTAATATATGTCGCACCCTTACTTGACGGTTAAAAACCGTCAAGTATTGGGAAAAATAAGCGTCAAGTATGGGTATTTTCTGTGGTAGTGTTATATTTGATGTATAATGGTGAGGTATAATTGCCCCACCAACAACATGGTATACGTTTTTATCTTCAACGTGTAACGGTAGGGAATAATCATCCCACCAATGTAAAATATAATGTCTATCAGGTTATATATAACTTATGGTGAAGAATAGCTGTCTCACCTAGTAGTATTTGCATACATACATACATAACTTGTTAAATAAATGAGAATAGAGGAGGATAGAGTGAAATTGAATAAAAAGAACAATGGAAAATATAAATAGTGGAATAAAATACTTCTTTTCTGTATGTAGAAAATAGTTAAATTTAATTTTGGAAACATGATAATTGAAATTTGTTATAAAAGAGAGAAGATAAAAAAATATAATAATATGGTAGTTGTAACAATATCAATACTAATAGTAGTCATTATCTTCTCCATCATGCAATCACCACCTAGTATAAAATCCAAGGGAATTGTAACAGCCCTCCACTCACCCCGCCTACCCAAGGTCTTTTGCGGCGCTGGACACTCTCCCCCCAGGCCCCACAACAGGAGGACCTCACCCCTTACGGTGAGCATCAAGAGACAAAGGCTTCCCCGCAGTAGTGTGCGGATTATTCCCCTTGCGAGGAGCCTCCCCAGGTTCGATCCTCCAACCTCTCCTACATAACAAAGTTGAGGCTGAACCTGGTACCATTGAACCTTTTAATGTAACAGCCCTCCGCTCACCCCGCCTACCCGAGGTCTTTTGCGGCGCTGGACACTCTCCCCCCAGGCCCCACAACAGGACGACCCCACCCCTTACGGTGAGCATCAGGAGACAAAGGCTTCCCCGCAGTAGTGTGCGGATTATTCCCCTTGCGAGGAGCCTCCCCAGGTTCGATCCTCCAACCTCTCCTACATAACAAAGTTGAGGCTGAACCTGATACCATTGTTCAATGGTATCAGGTTCAGCCTCAACTTTGTTATGTAGGAGAGGTTGGAGGATCAAACCTGGGGAGGCTCCTCGCAAGGGGAATAATCCGCACACTACTGCGGGGAAGCCTTTGTCTCCTGATGCTCACCGTAAGGGGTAGGGTCGTCCTGTTGTGGGGCCTGGGGGAGAGTGTCCAGCGCCGCAAAAGACCTCGGGTAGGCGGGGTGAGCGGAGGGCTGTTACAGGAATCATAATTTACATCAACTAGAATGAATTCCAAAATAATATTTCAACCAAATTTGACTCAACCATTTATTCCTCTGTTTCATGACATCAACAAATAGAGTGACATAAAATTTTTGCGTTGGCTTCCCAAATAGAGAAGAAAAAAGCAAATAAATGAGTTGTTCAAGTTCAAAAGGATAGCAAAGATGAAAATGAGTAATGCCACCTTGCTATTTATACACTTATCTGTTGATATCAATAGTATAGATCCCTTTTGTTACCATTTTATGACCCAGCAGCTCCAACTAAAAAAATTTCACCAGTATCACCTAGAATTTAGTAAGGCATAAGAACACTATTTTAAACACTAGAGTTTAATTCCTATCATGAATAAAATATATCCTATGATATTGAGATCCTAATTCATAGTTTGATTTTAATATTTTCACAACCAATTTACAATTTATTCTTTCCAACCTAATTCTTGCTTTTGAGTTTGAGAATTTCTTGTAGAGAAGGGAGTTGTGAGGGTTAAATAAGTCAGAAAAAAATATTTTTTGCAAGATTAGTCACCTTCAAAGGGATTGAAGATCCAAATTAAAACTTCTAAGGCAGCCATTAGAATTTATGCTGAAAAGGGACGAAGATAAGAATTTTGTATAAAGATAACAATAATTAAATGTCAAATTGTATAAAGATAACAAGACGTGCTGGCTTGAATAGCTTGAAGGTATTGAAAGATAATGAAAGAGGGTGCAAGAAATTAAACAAGCACATGAAGATAGGAAGAGTGCATACCGTCTGAATATGGTGAAGGAAAAGAAATAATAGCCAAGGAAATAGAGGTTAATCACATTGTGAAAGTCATGGTTTAAGTCATGGCGGCCAAGGAACACTAAGAAAACAAAAAGAATAGGATCTAGGGTTTTCCATTTGTCAGATCTACGATATAGATTTAGATAATTTTTTTATTTTGTTTTCAGTTAGTTTTTATAAACAATTCAAGTTCAATAATATTAAATATCTCTTTTAAAAAAATATTGAAGAATCTTATTTACTGAGATATATATCTAATTGATTTTTTTATAAAACCTCTAGAGGGTTTAAAATTTGAAACACAAACACTCTATTTTTTTATTTAATCCTATTTTTATTTGAATTATCACATTCTCTCTCCCTTAAAAAAATTCGGTCCCAAATTTTAAATATATATTACACCAAATGTGTTTTTTTCCCCTTTTACACTTGTGTGGTCTCACAAGTGGTTACTTCCAATTTTTTTTTTTTTTTGGGGCCATCACTTGTACCCACTACACGCCCGCGTACTATTTCTCAATTTTGTTGACATATAAGTTATTCGTCCATTCGATTCACGTACCATTAAGCTTGTGTGAATGCCTAGGCAAATGTTTTTTTTGGTGTTGTGCATAAAAAATAAGACAAAATTTTCAAAGCTTGAAGAAATGGCTTAATAATTTAACTACTATTTCCACACCCCCAACTTCAAGGATATCATTGGCATGAAATATGAGATGAATTTATATTTCATAAGCCTTGATTAATCAGGGATTAAACTAAAATGTCCATATATGTGAGTTATATATACTAATAAAGTTCATAAAGTTTTAAACATTTTGTAGAAATTTCAACAAAGTCTACCTTATAGTTCGGACCTTTCAAAATTTTTACAACAACTACAGAACCTGTCAACTAAATCACTAAGGAGTCTAGCTCTATTCCAGCAATTTGCATAATAACAAAATAAGATTTGGATCTAATAGTGGTATATGTGGAGCATTAACTTACAATTTACAAAATATAGTACAAAATTTCACCAAAAAGAATAATTACAATGTGCTTCTTTTATTCCAAAAAGTAATGGGGTCTCTCAATGATCCACAAGTGATGTAGGGTCAGGTACCATATTTGAAACTAAAGAAATTTTTGGTGAGTTTCGTTCCAGTCAAAATTATCAAAGATTATGAAAATAGTAACCAATAAACTTAACTCGAGATGACTTACTAGAATAATGAAATGCCTACTTAAATCAGTAATAACCAGTGAATTTTATCCATAATATAATTATGAAATTCAATAAATGCCATTAGTATCATATAAGCGTTCACCTAAAAAAAGTGCAAATAATAAAATATAAATGTTTGCATTAATAATGAAATTCAATTAAGTACTTTTGGAAAATTAATAGATGAATAACAAATTTTATTTTACATTTAGAAAGACTTGATCAGAACGAATAATAAATGTGAACACACATTCTATGAGGATAAATAATCAATCAAATGCAGCTTAAGGGTACAAAATAATCAAACGTGGTTCAAAGCCACGAAACAAGTGCAGCATTGGCCACAAAACAAGCATGAGAATAATGTTCACGAATATCCATCCCTTCATTCCACATGCGTTAGCCCATGCATGACGCTAGCACCTCCTACAAATACCCTATTAGCTAGGTGTACCATGTATGGAATAATGGAACTACGGTTAGCATTTAGTATTTTGAACTTAGTCTCCCTTAGTAAAAATCAAGCATGTATGGAATACAAAAATAGTTTCAACATCTTCACTAGAAAATACCATCCAACTATCGTTTTTCTATTATCTGAATATTTTATGATTTTCTTCATACATGAATTATTTCAATAAAATTTATCTCAACATAAAATTAAATAATTAAGTTGCTTATGAGAAATACTACCAGTTGTAGTATATTTGCTTCAAGCATTGCTTGTCAACAAGATAAATCCTTAATAATATTAACACATTTTCATAAATAAAACAATCAATAAAAAAATAAGATTTAACAAGAAAATTTGCATAATTTATAACGAAATAATGAAAATTTAAATAAAAAGATTTTATAAACATGCTATAGAAATTTGATTAGAAACGTTATTCACTCACCTGAAAGTTACAAAAAACCTTATATTTAGGTTTTTTCAATTTCTTATTTACTCTAATGTTGCCTCAAATGAATCTAACAAGTAAACCAACACATATGTCATTATGAATATATTTTATAATAACCATTTTAAATTAATATTTAAGCTCGTCGATACTTTCATGATAGCATTTCATTTCAATCTTTAACATGGCTCTTATTTCAGATTCACAAAATCTTAATTACTCTTCTATCTAATAATTTCCTTCTAGGTGCCGCACAATTCTAATAGATAGGTCAAGTTACATATTATATGAAGACATATATTTTCTTAATTTACCTATATAATTCCTCTAGACTCTAGTATAAAATTTAATAATTTTTCTTTCCACCAATTTCTTCTTTGGATCATTACTACAAACATTATAGGAATATTTACAATTAACTAAATTATATGGCAAGTCTAAGAAAAAAAAATCAATAATTTCCAGTATCTAGTTTTACCAAAATTTTCAGCCCGGCATAATAAAACATCCAATCTTTACCAACACAACACCGAAGCCTTACTACAAATCTCATGACAGACATATTGAAAAACAGAGCACCACCCTCAATAAGGGAAGAGAATGAATCACGTTGCTAAAAAATCGAAGGAATAGAAGAAAATCATGTTTTACGCCAACCAAAGTGCAACAATAACTGGCATGCACAGAACTCACGGCACAACTGAATACTAATCTAAGCGCCTCCACCCAGCTGTCCAAAGAGGAAGAGACGGAACAGAAACCATAGACCGGAAAAGAGGAAGAAAGATCTTAAGCTTTCATTACACAAGGACGTTCAGCAGGTGATGAATAAGAAAAACGAAGTCTAGTTGGCCACTCACCACCGACAACCACATGACCGAGAAAACCCACAGAAAACTTAAACCTCCTCCCTCACTTTGACAGACGAACTAGAACAGAGAAAAGGAAGAAGGTGGCAGCAAGTACACAGACCGATGGCAAGAAAAGTAGTAGAGTATTATGCACCTCACGATGACTCAGAACAGCAACGATAACAGGGAAAGAGAATCTGCAACTCAGCTCCCACTGTGGCTGGCAACAAGGAAGATGGGGACGACAGTAGCTAAAGCAACAGCAGCAACGAGCATGCTCAGTCGACAGCGAGGTAAGGATGTTGATAAGAGGTAGAGAAACGAACCGACTATGAAGATCCAGAGAAGTGTATGATGGCGGTTAGAAAAATATCACGATGCTCTGTTTTTTTCTTCGCGTCAAAGAAATGAAATCAGAACCATGCATTGGAGCAAATTACAAAAAAGAGCACGAGAAAATTACAAAAAAAAAAAGCACAGGAAAATTATAAAAAGGCCACAAAATTTTTTATAATTTAAAATTAAACTTTTACTTAAAAAAATTTGAATTATGGATTCTTGTAAAAATTTCTAACATAAAATCCTATAAATTATCTCTTTTTAATTGCTATAAAAATTTATTCAAATAAAATATTTATTTAAAATTTTTTTAATTTAAAATTTAAAATCATTACAATTATACTTTAATTTTTTTTTAATTTTGCATGAAAAGATTCAATAACTTTTATTTTTATGTTTTTTTTACCTAACTCGTCCCTTCCCTTCTTCGCTGAAACCATATTTTTCTTATGTTTATACCCACTAGAACATTGAATCTCGAACTTTAAACCCCCAGCCTCCGTTACCAGCCTCCATCAATAAATCCTCAAATGTTTAGGTCCTGATGGTTCTTTTTGCTTTTCCTGCCAAATCAATCATCTAACACTCTCCCGTCGAGTCACCTTATACCACGCCCTAAAAAAAAAAAAAAAACACAGGAGCTGCATGGAAATATTGGAACAAAACACATATTTTGAAAGCCTTAACTTAAGAAACACTAATTTCTAAACTATGAAAATGTCTGACAAAAAAATGAACCATTTTCAATATGAGTAATAAAAACATAAAATTTAATATTTTTGTAAAAATTTTGATAGAATCCCTCAAAAATTATACAATAGCATTTCTACGTACAAAATAACATTAACAAAGAGCTCTGCTTCTTTTCTAGCAAACAAATCATGCATAACACACATGGGGGTTCTAACTATAACTATGTGGGTCACCTAGCAAAAGATTTACAAAATATTAATGCATAATTTAAATTTTTACATCCATAACTTTGTCACTTCAAGTCAAAAATAGCCTCTCAATGGTCAATTAGAGGTAAATTATCAGTTACAATATTAGAAACCAAAAATAATTTGCAATGAATAATATCCAATTAATGATAAAATTTAAAAGAATAAATTGAATAAACTTAAGCAATTGTTTAAATAATTGAAAAAAATAGTTCAATATGACATCCTCATTTAATCTTAAATCAAAAATCAAAAACCATTAAATTTACAATAATAGAGCAATCTTATCATTTGGTTTTGAGAAGTCAATAGATTAAATAAATAAAAAAAGTAAAAATAGAAACATTTACCAAATAAAACGAATGAAGTATTAATTACACAAATCATTAAAAGCAAATATTTTGAGGACTTTACAGAATAGATAACAAACATGAAAATATAGTGCACGGGAGTAAATAATCAAATGTAGCTGATGTTATGAGAACAAATGTGAATACACAGTCTACGAGGGTAAATAATCAAATGTTACTCACACCATGAAAACAAATGTGGACTCACAATCCACAAGATAAGTAACTAAATGCAGTTAAAGCTATTGAAATAAATGTAAACACACAGTCTACGAAGGTAATATTAATCAAATGTGGTTTGAAGCCACGGAAATCAAATGTAAGTGCGCGCAAGACCCACGAATATCAAATATGAGAACAAAGTCCATGAAAACGAACGAGCTAGTCACTAATCTTAGC